ATCTTCAGCTTCCCTCTGCTCTTCCTCCTCCTTCCCCCTGTAATTTCTTCTGGGACTTAAATTTAGACACATGTGTACCCAGGATATGTAGCTGTATGTACATGTGGCTGATGCATAGTCTGTGCATGCATGTCTGAAGAGTAAATCAGGGGAGAAGAATGGCCAGGTAGATGGCTACAAAACTGCCATGTAGATACAGAATTCCATCCTAAATATTTGGTTGGATTGGCCCCCAAATGACCTGAACTGCTGAATAGGACTAGCTAGTCTTCTGTGAATCAAAAGTTTATGCATACAGTTAGTTTTAGGCATGTGAGTAATTCCATTATGAAAGCAGAGGGTTATGCTGATTTTTAATACCACTGGTTACTGACCTCCAACCCTAGGAAGGTATCTTCTATGTTTGTTCTCTCCTTTATGTGTAACAAAGAAATTGCTAAAAAGAAATAAGGAAAAGTCTTTGGAACAAATGCTGAAACTGACCTGACATGAATGGGAGTTGCGTGATTTCAGGAGCACTCTTGGGATCTGGCTTTTTACTTTCCTAAGTTGTGGATATTTCTTCAGGATAGAAATGGGATTCACCAGGCCCTCCTTTTCATTAACATGGTTCTATTTTGCGTATCTGATCAGTTACTTGCTGATGCCATAGAGACGTTTTGTGAATGACTTCAGTATATAGCTGATTGCATTGCCTTGGATATGGTATCAATCCTTTAGGGCACATTGGCTCCAAAAGAGACAACAGATGTTTTGATTGTCCCTGGGCAGTAGCTATGTATACTGATGACCAGTTTCAGTGTTACTATGGTGGAGGGGGAGAAGGGGCTTCTTTTTTTCATTACATTCATTACTGACCTTTGATCCCTGTGTCCTCTTACCAGGTCGTCCCATTCCACCTACATCTTCGTCTAGCCTTCTTCCATCCGCTCAGCTGCCCAGTTCCCATAATCCTCCACCAGTTAGCTGCCAGATGCCATTGCTAGACAGCAACACGTCCCATCAAATCATGGACACCAACCCTGATGAGGAGTTCTCTCCCAATTCATATCTACTAAGAGCATGTTCAGGGCCACAACAGGCTTCCAGCAGTGGTAAGGAAATTGAATTAACATTCAGAGTTTGATTATGACATGTTTTATGCCATGATTGCATGTCAGCATCATGAAAAATGATGATTCTTAAATAAAAAATGAGAAAAATGAAAAAATCTATCATAATTTTGTTGTGTTCAAGCTTTCTAGGATGCATGATACATCATATTTGTTTCAGCAGTGAGTGGTTCTTTGACACAAGAAAATATTTAAAGCATAAAAAAACTAGTATTTCATTCCCCTTAAGGAAAAAAAAAACATTTACATATCTTAACTAGGTTGTATACTTCATAACTGTTGGAGGGATGTATTTATAAGTTATTTCATGTGACATTAATAGTTTGAATTTTTATAGACCAAAAGTGTAGCTATTAGAAGTGATGAGACGGTACCAGAAATTGTGTGCTGATCCTGTTTTGTCACATTTCTATTCTTATTTTAGTATTATACTTAACCCTTGCTTGCTAGTCTGTATATAACCTTAAGCTATTGATGTTTCTTGAGAACGTATTTTTGGCCAGAGTTTCCAAAACTTTTACAACTTCACCTATAGTTGGCAGTCTCTGAAAACAAAACCCCAACTGTTTGAAAATCAAAGGCTGTTGTTTGAAATGTTAGTCTTTTGCTGTCAAGCTCACAAGTCTTCCCTCATTTCATTTTTCTTTGCTTCTCTTTTCAAAGAAAAGCATCCGTTGTGAGTTCCTGTTAACTTTGGTGAAAATTATACATGTATACATTGTCAAAATTGGAGTGTGACTCTTAGGGCCCTGGCATGTGTTACATTTAAGGCACAAATAATGTGATAATTACACCATAAATAGTGAAAGTGCTACATGTTCAGCTGACTTATGTCACTACAAAGTGGCAAACAAGCCAAAAATATAATCTACAAAACATATGGAACATTTTTGTGGCTGGTTTGCATGGCACCATAAAGGAACTTGTAGCAAACTTCCATCCCAGTGTTGTCAATCAACTGATTGCCAGCCCTCAACCCAGTGCTGAAAACAGGCTACTGCATGAGTGGGTTACAAGGTTTCCTCAGTTGGGAAGGAAAGCCAAAGGGCTCCTACCTATGAACCTGGTTACTCTGGCTTAGCAGCCATCCCTGCCTTGCCCTGTAGCCCCTTGTGGGCAAGGCACTTCAAATTCTGGTTCATGGGGAGCCGTGCAGCTCCCTGCAACTCAGTGGTTGCCTGTCTTGCCCCACAGTTGCCAGGGAGCCTGAATTTTAAAGTGCCTTGTTCCCCAGTTCCTGCTCCACTGCACATGAGGTTTTTAAAGGTCCTGGTGCATCTGGACCATTGGATTCAGAAGAGACTCCCTACTGTCAGGTTCCCCATGCCACAGGGATATCTAAAAATTGTGAGTGGTACTGGGGTGTATGCTTGTTTTTTAAGGCTAGGGACAGACATTCAAAAAGCCAGAGCCATTAATTGATTCAATCTTTGCAGATTGGTAGGGCTGTGCAAAGCCTTGGATTGAGATTTGGATTTGGAAATGATATGGACAGTTTGGAGGCCGAATCTATGAATCTGAATCAAATCATTAGAAGCTTTAGGCTTTCTGAATCAATTCGGAGCTTCCAAATTGATTTGGAAAAGATTCAGAGATTCAGCCATAAGGTATAATGGGGAATCAATGAAATATCTATAACTTTGTTGTTTTTTGCCTGATTTGGATGAAACTTGCAGGGGTGGTAGCCAAGTTTCAAGGTGATAGGTGAAGGGGTTTCTGGGAAACTGCACATCAAATTCTGAAAGCAAAACTCATGTCACATGTGTGTGTGTTAAACCACAGTGGGGTAAAAACTACAGGGATGGTAGCTCTTGCTGAGGCCACAAATCCTGCTAAGTTTCAAGGAGATAGGTACAGGAGTTTCTGGGAAACTGCACCTCAAACTGCTGACAAGCAAAATTCATGACATAGGTGACACTGTGTGTGTGTTAAGGCATGGGGGGGTGAAAACTTCAGGGGTGGTAGCCGCTGCTGTGGCATCAAAGCCTGCCAGCTGTCAAGGAGATAGGTGGAGGGGGAGTCTGGGTCCTGGGGCCCTGCACCTCTGGCTGCAGGCAGGCAAAACTCATGATATGGGTACTTGTGGGACTGTGTATGTGTTCAGGTGCACCCTTCCTGGTGCTAGGGCCTCTGCACAACATGATAGTGTCCCCGTGAGGGCTCCCCCTCTCCTACAGCCTCGGCCTGGTCCAGCATTGTAAACAACGGCAGGTCAAAATAACTGAGCTGACTCAACACCAATAGCACCAGCAGTATCAAAGGTACCCAAATGGGACTGTCACAGAGTCTTTCTTTTATAAAGGAATTTACAGCAAGAAATAAAGATGTTGTGTTGGATATATGTTACTTGTGGTGTGTGATGGTTTATCTTGTGTTTTTATTTTTATATGTTTATTATGAAAAAAAAACGAAACGCAGTAAAAGTTCTGTTAACCAGCATCTTACAAGCCAGTGTGCTCAATTAACTGGCATGCCAGCTTGTAAGATAAAGTGAAACTGGAAGTGCCCACTGTGGCACTTCTGGTTTCTCTGAGCCCCCACGACCCAAGGCAAAGCAGCTTGCGCTGCCAAGCCCCCATGGCCTGCAGGCATAACAGGCTGTGCGGGGCCCACCCCCCATCCCATGGAGCCTGCAGGCACCACGGAAAGGGTGGCAATGCACCAGAAGCGGCGATGGGACACCCCACACTTGGCAGGAGAATCGGTGGGCTGGGCTGCTCAATTAACCAGCATATTTTGTTATCCAGCATCCCCCGTTCCCAGGGGATGCCAGATAACAGAGCTTTTACTGTAGTTAGAAAAATATATCTTAGGAAGCTTTTGGGTTGAAAAACTCTTTGTCAGGCTGAGGAAGTACCTGCAGTTGGTGTGTCTCCTGGTCCTGGATAGAAGGAATAGTAAAGAAGTCAGAGGCTGGCCTGGCATGTACTGTAGGCAAGAAAGCCAGTCAGTGAAAATGGGAATGGAGGTGTCAGGGGGTGAGGGACAGGCTGGCAGGGGAGGAAGGGGGATGTAGCAGAGCAGGTAAAAGTACAGATTACCTGGGGAGTCAGATGTCCGAGTTTTGCCTGCTTGTGGCCAGAGGTGCAGGGCCCCAGAACCCAGATTCCCCCTGCAATTTTCACCCCCCTGTGCCTTAACACTTAACAAGTTTCATCTGAATCAGCCACAAAACAACAACGTTATAGATGTTTCATTGATTCACCCTTATACCCTATGGCTATATCTCTGAATCGCTGAATCTTTTCCAAATCTTTTTCAAATCAATTCAGCCAAATTGAATCAGAAAAGCAATTTGGATCTCCAGATTGAATCGGCTGAAACTGAATCGGCCAAATCCAAATCAAATAGTTGCCTATTCGCACAGGCCTACAGATTAGTCTAACCTTCCTAGCTTGAACTGATCTGTAACTGTAGAGACATTCCCTCTGGACTGAGGAAATGTAGGCACATGGATGCAGTTGCCTGAGCCAAGAGCCGGGGGGTGGGGGGAGGGGAGGCACTAGAGCACACCCTTGGCTGCAGAGATGCTATCCCAGTGAGGGGCTGCGCTGCAGGGCAGGCAGAGCTGCAGCGGACTGTGTGCGGTGGCACCAGGGCTCAAAGGGGACAGAGCTCCCCCCACCCTCCCAGTGCTGCTGCCACCATTGCCATGGTCTGCAGTATCTTTTCCCACCCCACAGTGCAGCCTCCCTGCCAGGAAGGGCTCACACTCTGGGAAACTGTGACAGGGGCTACTGCTTCCATCACGGTCGCTCCTCCTCACCGCTCCAGTGGCTGGGCAGGGGCAGGGCCAGACACTGGAAGGCAGGGCGCTTTAGGTGGTGGGCAGAGAGGTGGATTATTCCGCCACTTGCCCTGGACACAGAGTGAGTGGCGGCAGTGGTGGTCAGGCTGGGCAGACCCCACTGCAGTGTCCCAGGGGCAGAGGGGGGAATAACCCTGCTCCTTGCCTGCCACCTGAGGGACGCTGCTGGCCAGTGTCTGACCCTGCCCCTACCTGACTGCTAGAGCAGCAAGGGGGGAGCGATCATGATGGGGGTAGCCATCCCATCACCGTTTCTCAGAGTGCAAGCCCCTTCCTGGCAGGGGGGGCCATGCTGCAAGGTGAGGAAGTTGCTGTGGACTGCAACAGCAGCACTGAGGGGTGCTCTGTCTCCCTTTGAGCCCCGGTGATGCTGTGCACAATCCACCGCAGCTCTGCCTGCCCCGCTCCAGGAAAATGTAACAGGGGCTGCTGCCCCCATCAAGAGCCCTGCCCCCTCATGACTGCACCAGTGGGGTGAGGGAACAGCAGGGCATGTTAAGCGGGGGGGCAGAGAGGGGGTGTTATTATCCCCTCCCTGTGGCATCCCACAGAGGAGGCACAAGGGTGCTTATTCTGCCTCTTGCCCCAAGCAGGGAGCGAGCGGTGGCGGCGGCATTCAGGGCAGGCAGACCCAGCTGCGGTCCCCCATGTACAACAAGGATAGAGGGGGGAATAAGTTCCCTCCCTGCCCCCTCTGCCTCAGGGGTCATGCTGGCCCACATCTGACCATGCCCAGCCCCGCCACTGCAGCAGCAAGTGGGGAGTGCTCAGCAGAACTGGCTTGGGTCCCTGCCGGTGGGACAGGGAGCAGGGAGGGGAGAATTAAGCCCTTCTCTGGCCAGTTCAGCCAAGGATACTGCCAGGGCTAGCCATGCCCCCACCAGTGGAGCAGCCAGCAGGGAAAAGTGCAGGACCATGCTGGTGGGAGAGGGAGAGGAGAGGGGAATAAACTTCTTCCCTGCTGTCTTCCAGGGTCAGCATCTAGCCAAGCCCCACCCCTGCCTATCTATGCCTGTCCCTGCTCCAGCTAGGGAGCAGAGGGGTGGGACCAGCCCTGCTCTGCTGGATCAAAGAACCCAGCCCAGAGGGCATGTCAGGATGCTGGGAGACTCTGATTTAATTTAAACTAAGAAGGGGTCTGGGACAGACATTGCATAAACTGGTTTGAGCTCAA